GTCAGCCTCTCTGCTCCTATGATGCTGCTTGGCCTGCTGTGTTCATCCAGCCCTGCACCTTGTTGTCTTGTTTTTCTGTAGCTGTTTTCTGTACTGGCCAGAAGTTTTGTCTTCTGTAGTGGTTTTTTCTGTGCCTTGTTGTTTGTTACACTGCATAAGAGAGAGAGTTTCATTACAAGTCGTTGGATTCTGCCTCAGACCAAAACCCTGAACGGTGCCAGAAGGGCATGAAGTTTATTGCTTCTTTCCTCTCTTTTTCATTCTTTTTATTTACTTAATAAATCTTCCTTTCATTTTTCATCTTTTATTATTACTCAATAAATGTTCATATTTAAGCAAATTGCTGTTGTCAAGCCTTCTCTTAACTACATTTAACTGAACCTGAAAAGAACTGCTTGGATGCACTGTGTGACCCAAGACAAAAGTCAAACATCTTGAGCCTATTCTCATTGGAGCTGAGAAATGGTCACATCATTCTGGAATGTCACATCATTCCTTGATGTCACAATGACCTGACCCTACAATTAAGGGTTAGAAACCACCATTGACAATTCGTCATGTGAATATGCACTGAATTTCCAAATTATACGTTATCTGTAGACAAAATGTCTGTAGATATAAATGTCTAGGATTAAACTAAAAAGTCAACTAAACATCTTGTGTCTCTCCTTCCTTCATTTACTCCCTGCTTCAGTCAAATCACTCAGTTCCATCCTCCATCTCTTCACCTGTTTCCCAGTCTGGATTTGTGTTTCCATTTCTACTCTGCATTGGAACATGAAATCCCAAAGAGTAATTCTAAACATCGAAGGGTGACAAAGCTGTATTTTCACGGAGTTTGGGAATTCAAAGTATCCCCCTCGGCCCCTCACTTCCAGCAGAATTCATGCTGACTCTCTCTTTCACACTCCGATTCAGTTTAACACTGACTCATTCCTTCCTCACAAGATAAGGTTCAGTCTGAAGATCTGCCCCTTTGCTTCTCCCCTCCTATGTCACACGTTTCCACATTTTCCTCTATCACCTTATTACTTTCTCCAGGATATCACCCATTTCCATTGCTACCTCATGCCTGATACCTTTTCCCTGCTGTTATTATCTGACACTTCCCTCACTGAGCTACCACATTCAACTTTTCAAAGTGACAGGATCACACTGGAAGGTAGAGCAAAGATGTTCAGTAAAGCAACCCCTTCTCCATTATTTCTGATCGGGTCCAGCAATGTTTCTAAAATGTAATAGAACTATAATGTTTTTACAACATTTTTCAGAATATATGTACAAATGACAACAAATCTAATTTAGCTGTTGCTCACTATTTGATGCCAGAGCAGGCTTGAGGGTCTGAGTTGCCTAGCCTACACTTAGTTGTTGTGTTTTGCTTCCCTTATTTCAAACAAAACAAACTACAAACTATATTATGAAAGTGAAAACATTCCTCACTCCTCAGTTATTCAGCTTCTTGCATCACTATTAAAGTGAAACACAAAAATCAGAGAACTTCAGGGATGAGGGAAGTTTGGAAATTTTGTTTTTGCTGGACATAATTGTCATTTTAATTTGCTTGCTGGGTATGAAATACACAATTGGCAAGAACATTTTCAAACAACATTTGACACCAAACCACATAAAGGTCAGATGTTAATAAGCATAATCAACATGTATGGTTTATGAAGTATTTTAACAGTCAAAAACAATGTAGAGAGGAGGGATGCTTTAGGCAGTGAATTTAGGTGTTTTGGAGTTTAAGCAACTGGAGGCACTGCTGGACATGGGAGTACTGTGAAAATTGGGGAGAAAGGGGTCAAAATGGGTGGCACAGCTAGTTGTGAGGCTGGTGGGGCTGAAGAAGATGACAGAGGAAGGGAAGAATGACAACATGGAATGGTTTATAAACAAGACTAATAATTTTACAATCAATGCAGATTTTTCACTTGCAGCACTGCCCAGAATGAGCACTTTACAGCCATCAGGGTTCAACAATTTATGAGAATGAACACTGTCCTATTTTGATTACAAACCTCTCTCCTATGTCTCTTTGCATAAATTTGCTCGAAGCAAAGCCAACCTATTTTCAACTATTGAGACTTACCATTAATATCAATTTTGCATCTTGACCACTCCTTTACTACCAGTAGCACTCTCTTTGTCTTTTGCTAGGAGCACAGTTTCGTCTGTTCCACTTAATTATCCTCCCTTGTGTCAACACCATAAAACCATCATTTTTCACCCTCTTTCCAGGTTCCAAAGAGGAGTCATTGGACTCAAAAACTTACATCGTTTCTTTCTCCATGAATGTTGCCAGACCTGCTGATTTTCTTCAGAAATTTATCTTACTTTATTTGTGATGACTATAGACCAATAAATAGGCTTCTGCAAACTCCCTGTAGTGTTGCTCAAAAGTTGCTGAAGGGATAAAATAAATTAAAACAAAGTTACATTTTATATCAGGTTTGTACCACACACACATATTTAAATTCGTGGCAGCATTACAGAGAAATTCCCAATTCCTCTGCCGTGTCTGCTCCCAAGATGGGGCGTTCCACTCCTGCACATCCCAGATGTCCTCCTATTTCAAGGACCATAACTTTCCCCCCTCCGGATATCGAAAATGCCCTCAACTGCATCTCTTGCATTTCCTGCACTTCTGCCCTCACATTCCCTCCCCCCAACAAAAATAAAGACAGAATCCCCCTTGTTCTCACATATCACCCCACTAACCTCTGCATCCAATGTATCATTCTCTGCCACTTCTGCCACCTACAATCAGAGCCCACAACCAAAGAGATATTTCCCTCCCCACCCTATCTGCCTTTCTTAGGGACCGCACTCTCCATGACACCCTCGACTACTCCATGCTCCCCAGTAACCCCACCACCCCCAGCACCTTTCCCTGCAACGCAGGATGTGCTTCACCTGCCCCTACAACCCCACCCTCCCCATTCAAGGCACAAAACAAACCAATCATATCAGACAGGGGTTTACCTGCACATCCATCAACTTGGTCTACTGTATCTGCTGCTCTCAATATGGCCTCCTCTACAGCAGTGAGACCAAGCGTAGACTCAGAGACTATTTTGTAGAGCATCTGCGCTCGGTTCGCAACAAACAACAACACCTTTCAGTCAAACTACTCCCACTCCCTGGGTGTCATATCCATCCATCACAATGACACCACCCGGAAACTGGAGGAGCAGCACCTCATATTCCGCCTTGGGACCCTACAGCCCGATGACCTAAACATGGAATTAACCAGTTTTAAAATCTCCCCACCCCTGACCTTATCCCATGACCAACCCTCTCTCTCATCCCTGCCTCCTTGACCAGATACAACCTGTCCATCTTCACTCCCACCTATCTGCCCCACCCATCTCACTGACCAATCCCCACCACTCCCTACCTGCACTCACCTATCACCATCCCACCTACTTTCGCCAGCCACACCCTTCCTCTTTATGTTTCCCCTTCCCCCCTCCTACCCATTTCTGAAGAAGGGTCCTAACCCGAAACGTCAGCTTTCCTGCTCCTCTGATGCTGGCTGGCCTGGTGTGTTCCTCCAGCTCCACACTGTGTTGTCAACTTTAGGAAATTGTTTGTTTTACGGGGTTACTGACTTATCCAGTTACACAGAAGGTACAGACGGTATTCGACAAACCACCTTAACAGTTAAGAAGTTCCATTCACTTAATTAATGATCAGATTGTGTGACGTGAAAACTCACCCTGAACTCTAGGGAATATAGAAATAGCTAGCTCGTGGTTGAAAGGAATAAATCCTCGACCACGGGTTGCGTGAACTGACTTTCAGCAAAGACACCAATGTCTGCGAAAGTGACCATTAAGAGGGGCATCATCGCCCTGGAAATAAAGGGCCAGCGCAGGAGGCGATGTGCAATGTGCTTCGTTAAAAGTGCCCCACAACGTTAACCATGAGCTCGTCACTATTTCAGAAGAGGAGGTCGCATCTGCTTTTAGTTATCTGTCTGAAGGACAGTCGCGTCCTTCATCTCTCCCACGCCAACCCGGCTCCTAATTTTACCGGCGAATGTTTATTATTCCTCTGCCTTCCTCTAATCCTGTTTATTGTTTGTATGAAAATTGTTTCTTCGTCCTTTGACAGGACCTGGAGCAGCAAGAGAACAAATGCACTGTCGTGAATCTCGTCTGAATATTTTTAACCTAATATATTCACAGCAGCCCGGTAAACATTGAGATGTAAGTGGTTTGACTCAGGAAGTAAAAAATAAGTTGCTGGAAAAGCTCAGCAGGTCTGGCAGCATCTGTGAAGGAAAAAAACAGATTTAATGTTTCGGGTCCGGTGACCCTTACTCAGAACTGGAAGCGTTAACTGTTTTTTCCTTCACTGATGCTGCCTGACCTGCTGAGCTTTTCCAGCAACTTTGTTTTTGTTCCTGATTTACAGCATCCGCAGTTCTTTCGGTTTTTATTTAGTATTTGACTGACTCAGGAAGTACTACCTTGATCATGGATTCCAGACAACAGGGAGAGAGCTTGTTCCATTTGTCTGGATTTCTTCACCGACCGGGTTATGCTGGATTGTGGGCACAACTTGTGCCGCTCCTGTATCACCCAGAGTTGGGAAAAGCAGGAGATGAACTCCTGCCCGGAATGTAGGCAGGACATTCCAGAAAGAAACCTAAGGGTAAATCGGGCCTTAGCGAATCTGGCCAAGAAAGTTCGAAAATTAAAGCTGGATCCCCAAGGGAAGGAAAGTAAACTTCACCGTGAGGAACATGAGGAAGAACTGAAGTTGTTTTGTGAAACTGACATGAAATTGATCTGTTACACTTGTGCAGTTTCCCGGGAACACACATCTCGCAACTTCATATCAATTAAAGAAGCTGTTGAAATCTACAAGGTAAAAAGAACCGATTTCGCGGCCTAATTATGTTATCACAGCTTAAAATGGAAGGTTTTAAAAATGGAGAGACAGCAGAAACAGAGAATTTCCCAAGTTCGGGGAAGGGCTCCAAGCAGTCATTTTCCGGAAATTGGTTTGGAGTCTCAAAAGTAGGCTTTATTCAAGTGGACCCAAGGAAAACCAGTCCGTGACTAACTTGGATGAGAACTCTGCTGAATACAGGAAATCCATTCCTTTTATACACATTCGGTCATGTGTTCATACTTCATTATTCAAGTGACAACTTTGTCAGCCCATAACCATACAATAAGGAAATGTCTCCAATCCTAGGCATATATCTTCATTCATCCAAGCATGGAGCCACTTAATCATGTCTTAGCCTGTTTTGTCAGGTACTATTTGCCGAATTTCTTACCTGTTTAATTTTTTGCTTATCTTCATCTCCCTCTTCTTAACGAGTTCATATTTTCTACTTCCCAAGGCCTAATTGGAGATTCTGCTGATCTTGGCCTTTAGGGTTTACAAAGTTCATCTGGAGAATTCTATTCCCTTGGTTTTAATGTTACAGTCTGATGTCTTCAGATAATACTGATCTTTCTAATGTAGATCTTGCCAAGTGTATGCCCTGTGCTATGTAACCTGTCTCTGTCTCTGTCCAAGAGTTTGTTTTTCACCCTATGATCTGAATGTCGTTGCTTACTGTGATCTGTCTGTACTGCTCAGAAACAAAGCTTTTCACTGTACTTAGGTACACATGGCAATAAACCAATCAATCAGTTAGCTGTTATTGTTTCAACCACCCCACATGTAGCAAGTTTAGTTATTCCAATTAATTCTAATCACTGTCCCAATAATCAAGCTGTTTCTGTGTTATCTACTGTCTTGTATCTAAGTTCACAGATGTGAACAACATCTCTACATCTATCCTGTTGAATTATTTCAGAATTTTAAGGATTTCCATCACGTCACCTCTCAAATTTCTCTTTTATCAGGAAATGTGTCCTAACCTTTCCCCTTGGATAAATCCCCTCATTTCTGGTATCATTATTATAAATTTTCTTTACGCTATCGACTGCAAATAATCATGCATGTGAAATTTCTGCTGTTGAGATCTGCTGATTCATTCCCAGTCAATTCAGATTTGTGTCTTGTCTTTTTCAGGAAGAAAATTGTGAGAAAAGCAGGTAGGACATGTTTATTAAGGAAACAATGGGTGGTTAAGTAAAATTGTTCAGAAACATTTGATAATCAACTTATCATGATCTTTTTAATATTTGAAAGATTAGCAGGGAAAACGACACACTGGAGTTAGTCGACGGTGCCTTGAAAGATGGAATTTTTCGTGGCCTTTCACAGTACACAATTTGGAGAGAATTCCTGAATGTCATTAAGCCTAGTAAAGCTCCTAAAAGCTGCTTATGTCTTGATTTAGACCTTATAATTGATGCATTATACGTAAATATATCAATGTAAATTTAAGAATGAAATAGTGTAAAATAAGGTAGTTTGAAATTAAGTGTTTGGTGGAAAACAAAGTGTTAGTCATGCATCAAATCTACCATTTAAACAAGGATCAACTTCAAGTAGTTGTCTCAAATGTTAGCTCCACAAATGTGTAATAACTTCCCTCAACAGATTGATCACAAAAATAGGTGAAGCATTCACTCCAGAACCTATCATTTGTCAAATTTCAGCAAGCAGAAATTCTGCTATTCCCAGCAGAAAACTTTTCCCTTGTAATGTTCATCCTCCACATGGTGAATCATACCCATCAAGCTCATGGTAGGAAGCGTAAGCCTTTAAAAAAATTTCTTTCGCGCGATGTGGTCCTGCTCAATGGGCCAATATTTATTGCTCATTCCTAATTGACCTTGAGAAGGCAGTGATGAGGTGCTTTCTTGAACCACTTCAATTTCATTTTTTTTGAATGGTCTCTGGGTGTTGCTAAGAAATTCAATATTTCATGCACATCCCCAGTTGATCTTGAACTAACTGGTTGTCTCGGCTTATTCAGAGGTCAGTCAAGTGTCAACTACATTGCAGTGGCTCTGCATTCACGTGTAAGTCAGGGTAAAGCTGACAAATTTCATTCCCTAAATAAAAACCAAAAGAACTGCAGATGCTGTAAATCAGGAACAAAAACAAAGTTGCTGGAAAAGCTCAGCAGGTCTGGCAGCATCTGTAAAGAAAAAAACAGAGTTAACATTTCGGGTCTGGTGACCCTTCCATTAACTCTGTTTTTTGACTTCACAGATGCTGCCAGACCTGCTCAGATTTTCCAGCAACTTTGTTTTTGTTTTTGTACATTTCATTCCTTAACTGACATATTCATCATGTCTGAGACCAGCTTTCAATTACACATTTTAATTAAAAAATTCACTAACTGAATTTAATTTCCACCTGTGCCTTGTAGTGATTGGAACTCATGTCTCCAAACCTAAGCACAGATTGAGTGAGTGGACAAAAACTTAGCAGACAGAGATTAATGTGCAAAAGTATGAGGTCTTATGCTTTGGTAGGAAGAATCAAAAGGCAGACTATTATTTAATAACCGAAGGTTCCAAAAAATCTACAGCATAGAGGTCTGGGAATTCTTATGAATGAAACATAAAAAGCTAGCAAGCAGGTGCAGCAAGTAATTAAGAAGGTAAATGGAATTTTAGGCTTTATTGCACAGGGTTCAGAGTTTAAAAATAGAGAAGATTTTTTGCAAGTGTAAAGGGTTTTGGTGAAGTTTACAGTTTTAGTCCCCTTTAAAAATGGACATACTGACATTGGAGGCAGTTCAAAAGATGTTCACTAGGCTGTTTCTTGGAATGAAACGGTTAACATATCAAGAACTACTAAAAAGGTTAGGGCCTTTTTTCATTTGAGTTTAGAAGAATGAGAGGTGATCATATTGAAACATTCAAGATTCTGAGGAGAGGGTTGACAGGGTAAGTGTTAAAAAGATGCTCCCACTTTAGGGAATCTTGAACAAAGGAACGTGGTTACAGAATAACAGGACACTCATTTAAAACTGAGATAGTGAGGGAACGTATTCTCACAGAATAGTGAATGTCTGAAATTCTCTACCCCAGACAATTGTGGCCATTAGATCACTGCAAGTATTTAACAGGAGGTAGACAGATGGGAATTGATGTCTATGAGGAGCTGGCACAGAAGCAGAGTTGAGTTATAGAATCATAAAGTCATAACGCACAGATACAGACCCTTCACCCCAACTTGTCTATGCTGACCACCTTTCCTAAATTGAACTAGTCCCATTTGCCTACGTTTGGACGATATCCCTCTGAGGTGTGGGACAAGTCACCCATGATCTTGTTGAATAATTAGGCAGACTTGAGGGTTTATGTTCTTATGTTCATCAGGATCTTTGGATTACCAGTCTAGTGAAATTACCCTACCCAAGTGACTTCCTTTCCTGTTGCTGCCTGGGAGCATGGGAAGGAGGAAGAGCGGTGAGGTTATGAAATCAACTGGTGTTCACTGTATTTGTGGAGAGGAACATGACTGCACATCACTTAAGAAGGCTTATACTTAGGGCTGCCAAGAGAAACATTCCATTGACCCTAATCAAAAGTTTGTTAATCCTCCAGGTTGATAGGAAGTTTGACAACCACAAAAGCCCCATATAAAGCTGTTTATTTATTTGGACCAGACAAGAGGTATCAGACCTTGACCAACATTTTCCAGTCAGTGTTGGTGAGATTTTTAACTTTCTATAAGCATGTATAAACAATGATGACAACTTCCATATCCCAAAATATTAACGTGATTGGTTCTTCATAATGTGTATCTGAGTCCCTATCTTTAGCACGTAGTATGAGAGTTCCAGCAAAAAGAGAGTGAGTTTTTTGTTTATTAATTTACAAAACCTCGAGTGTTTCACCAGATTGCTACTTTGTCAGATCGGCTGATTGTTCTGGTGTTCTCTGTCGAATGGGAATTTGTCCTTTTGGAAGTGAAGGGCACAGCTTTAGGGTCTCCACACATGGTTGTGCTGAGAACACATAGGACAAGTGTGAGGAATGCCAATGTGTCGAATGTGGAGGATCCTCACAAGGGGCAGAACTGAAGTTTCACTTTGGATCCTCCTACGTTTAAATTTAATTCAGATGGAGCAGCCTTCTTCTCCAGAAATGTCTCTGCAGAGTAATGGGAATGTTCCTATTGGTCAGTGAGACTGTCCTCTGCTCAGGGCTGAGTAGAAGGAGATCAACATTTGTCCCACCCATTCAGTCAGAAACTGAGTGTGATCTGAGGGCAGTGAGGAGAGTCTAGGGTGGAAATGCATCTTCTGTCTGTCCTATTATGTTAATCTGTCTGTTTTTATGCATATATTTTGTTGAAATTTATGGATATAGTACTGTTTTTGGGATGTCTAATGGTGATGTTGGTTTGCTATGATAGGGTTAGGGTGAGGTGTCTATGTCGAGTTCCATCATCTGGTAGTGTTGTAGAAGAGAGACCTAAGGGTTCACGTGTATATATATCTTTGAAATTGGCACCACATGTAGACAGGGTGGTTAAGAAGGTGTTTAATACACTTGCTTTCATTATTCAGACTTTTGAGTATGGAAGTTGGGACGTCATGTTGAGGTTGTACAGAATGTTGTTGAGGCTTCTTCTGGGGTACTGTGTACAATTCTGCTATAGGAAGGATATTATTAAACTGAAGATGGTTCAGAAATGATTTGCCAGAATGTTATTGGGACTGAAGTATTCGAGTTATAAAGATAGGCTGCATTGGATGGGACTTTAGTCATTCGAGCATAGACATTGAGGAGTGACCTTATAGAAGTTTATAAAATCACAACATGCAGAGATAAGGTGTATAGCAAGGGTCTTTCCCTAGGTTGGGTGAGTGAGTTGGAAACTAGGGGGCATATTTTAAGGTGAGGAGAGAGAGATTTAAAAAGACTTGAGGGGTAACTTTTTTACACAGTGGTTCGTGTATGGAATGAACTGCCAGAGAAAGTGATGGCTGCAGGTACAATTCCAACATTTAAAAGATATTTGCACAGGTGCATGAATAGGAAAGGTTTGGACGGATGTGGCCAAATGCAGGCAAGTAGGTCTAGTTTAGTTTGGGATCATGGCCGGTGTGGTCCAGTTGGGCTGAAGGGTCTGTTTCCATGTTGTATGACTTTAGGGCTCTATCTTGAACGGACGATGGTGGAATGACCTTGAATGTGAGTCCCTCCCCATATACACAAATGTCCCACCAATATACAAATATCCTTCTATTCATGTACACATACAGTTCTATCATATACACACACCTACCTGCAGACATGCACCCTCTTCACATGCACACACCCTTTATCCATATGCAGACTGTTAATCACACACCCACCCCACACACTTGCATATACCCTTACTTGTATGTACATATATACCTAGCCATGTACAGACACTTTGATCCATATGCACACGTACCTGTACCCATATATATGCACTCCCCAATTGTCACAACCTGCTGGGGTAGATGCAGTGGAAATCAAGTCCCACTAATCCCAGGGTTATCACAAATCTGAAGAAATTTAATCAAACTATCCAAAGTCTCCAATTTATCTGACGTAGATTAAGTTAAAAGAAAATGCTCACTAGGTTTCTGTGCTTAACAAGAAAGTAACAGTTTATTGCCAATATATAGTCTTTAACCAATGGCAAAAAGGAAATATGAATTGCTAATTTATAGCTGTAAATCCCAAACTCTACTTGTGTTTAAACTCTCCCTTCACAAACTGACTGAATGATGCATGTAGGCAACAAGACTGGATATTAAGGGTAGTAAAAGGAAAAAAAAAGTCAGGGAAACGCAGTTTGATTGCAGCAGTCTGGACTACAGGAGTTGACAAGTTACTTTCTTTCTGTTTATGCTGATTCCTTTCAGTTATATGCTGTTGACACAAGATTGTTTGCACAATGGTGTTCAGTCTTTTACTCACTGAGAATTCGTCTTTTCAGTATCTTTAAAAGAGAAATTAAAATACCTTCAATAAGGAATTTTTCAGAGAAAGTTAAATGGAAACCAGCTAGCTGTCACAGGGAAAAAGTCAGTAAAATAACAATACTACTTGGAAATGAATGTATTTTGTGTGGTGGAGGCTGGTACGACTACAACATTTAAAAGGCATCTAGATGGGTATATGAATAGGAAGTGTTTAGAGGGTTATGGACCAAATACTGGCAAGTGGGACCAGATTTATATAGGATATCTGGTTGGCATGGACAAGTTGGACCGAAGGGTCTGTTTCCATGCTGTATGTCTCAATATTGGTTGTTTTGAGGTACACAAAACAAGTTGGACCAGTATGTGTCAGAGTCATACAGCACAGAAACAGACCCTTCGATCCAACCAGTCCATGCCGAACATCATCCTAAACTAAACTAGTCCCATCTGCCTGTTCCTATCATATTCATGTACTTATCCAAATGTCTTTTAAACATTGTAATTGTACCCATAGCACCACTTCTTCAAGAAGTTCATTCCATACGCAAACCACCTTCTGTGTAAAAGAAAAAAATGCCTCTGTGTCTTTTTAAAATCTCTCTCCTCTCTCCTCAAAAAATGTATCCCCTACCCTTGATCCTAGGGAAAAGACAACTACCATTAACCCTATCTATACCTTCATTATTTTATAAACTTCCATAAGGTCACCTCTAAACCTCCTACACTCCAGTGAAAAAAGTCCCAGTCTAGCCACCCTTTAACTTTTACTGGCTTTTCCTTCTGGTAACAAGGCAAGGGAGTAAATGATGAATGTTAGTACCATACAAAGTACAAAGAATCAGAGGGACCTTTGTGTGTATGTCCACAGATTCTTGAAGTCAGTAGGACAGGCATATAAGGTAACTGAGAAGGCATATGGGATACTTGCCTTTATTAGTCAAGGTATTGAGGAGAAGAGCAGGAAGGTTATGAGGGAGCTGAATGAGATATTAGTTAGGCCACAGCTGGAGTAGTGTTTGCAATTCTGGTCACAACACGATTGAAAGGACGTGATTGCACTAGAGAGGATGCAGAGGAGATTCACCAGGATATTTTATAGTCTGGAGCATTTCAGCTATGAAGAGAGACTGTGAAAGATTAGCTAGGATGGTGGCTATTAGACCAGAGAAGGCTGGGGGGTGGGTTCCTGATTGAGGTACGCAAAATTTATGTGGAAGATAGTAAGTCTATATAGGAAAAAACCTTTCTCCTTAGTTGATGAATCAATTACCAGGGAACTTTTAGGTTAAAGGGCAGAAAGTTCAGAAAGTATTTAAGGAAGAATTTTTTCACCCAGAGGATAGCAGATAACTGGAACTCACTGCCTGAAAGGTTGGTGGAGATGGGTACTATTACAATATTTGTGCTGCCGTGATTCCTCCATGAATCCTCCCCCTTCCCCATTTCCTAGCCAGGGTCTCCACAGAAGGAAAAGCAAAAGAGCTGTGGATGCTGTAAATCAAAAATTTAAACAAACTGCTGGAAACGCTCAGCAGGTCTGGCAGCATCAATAAAGAGAAATCAGAGTTAATGTTTCGGGTCTGATGACCGGTTCTGAGGAAGGGTCACTAGACCCAAAATGTTAACTCTGATTTCTCTTAGCATATGCTGTCAGACCTGCTCAGCATTTTCAGCAATTTCTGTTTTTGTCTCCTCAGAAGGATATCTAGTGACTCTGTCTAATTTTGATTTTTTTTCCAGTTTCTGTGACCTTGATGAGGAAACAGCAAATCCAGGGCTTGAGTCGTCTAATGATCTGAAAAGTGAGATGGACCAGCATTGTAAAGAGCCTCCATGATAACACAAAAAGGTTTACAATGTGAAATCTGTGCTGGGATCAATAGGATTCACATCAGGGAGACATTACCTGGAAGTGGAAGTGTCAGGGACTCAGCACTGGAGACTGTGAGTAGCTGCAGAATCTGTGGACAGAAAGGGAAGTGTTAGACTGAGACCAGAGAATGGATTCTGGATCATCCAGTGGTCTGAAAATCAGTTTAAGATGAGCTCTTTTGGATCCCCTCTCCCAGTTGGTTACATTCCAAGAAATGTGGGAGTTTATCTTAATCATGAGTCTGGAACAGTTTCATTTTATTGTATGGACACCAAATTCCATCTCCACACCTTCACTGGCAATAAATTCACAGAGAAGCTTTATCCCTTCTGGACCTATGATGAAAACAATAGGTTGAGGATTTGCTGCAATTACAATCCAAATCTGTAAAATAGGCTCGATCTCAGGATAGTTGCTTCATCCTAGGTGGCAGGTTGCTCTCACTTGTTTAGGGTCAGGGTAGAGGTCGGAGGTCTGAAATTGGCACGAACAAGACTTAGTAAACTAAATGATTAAAAGTCGATTCGCTGTCTTTTGGTTGAGGGTTCAGTCTCTTTCAGCGCCTGTGCTTTTTTTCTACATCTTTTCCTTTGAACAGAGAAATTTTGGGGAGGCGATGGCCTAGTGGTGTTATTGTTGGACTTTTGATCCAGAGACCCAGGTAATGTTCTGAGGACCAAGATTTGAACCCTGCCATGGTAGATGGTGGAATTTGAATTCAATAAAAATCTGGAACTAACAGTCTAATGATGAACCTGAATCCATTGTCAATTGTTGGAAAAACCTACCTGGTTCACTGGTGTCCTTCAGGGAAGGAAACTGCCATCCTTACCTGGTTTGGCCAGACTCACAGCAATGTGTTTGATTCTTAACTGCCTTATAGGCAATAAATTGCTGGCCTGGCCAGTGACCCTCTCATTCCATGAATGAATTAAAAAAGAATTGGAGAAAGAATAGTTGGCATGGGAAAAGGTGATGAAAACAGCTACCAGGATATTTTTTGTTACTTCTCCATACAGGAGTGAGCGAGAGAGAAAAGTTTCCTTTGCAACCAAGATGTTACTGCTGTACTATCCATTCCCAAGGCTGTAGCCAATCAAGTAGTTGTTACTATGCTAAGCCCTCCTGAACCCACAACTGAAATTGAAACACCAATCAAAAGACTATCTTTGTATGATGCTGTGCTTAAGAAACACACTCATACATATGACGGAATTCTGTCAAGCAATCTCCCCACTGCTTGAGTTAGGCAATATTGTCGATACAACTCACAATCAGTTCCAGTACCTATTATTAAACTGCAAACATCTTTTTCCACAGTTTTCTTGTTGTAAATTGGTATCTTTTCCAATTTTACATCCACAGTCCAAAACAATATCGACCTTTACAGTTCCCTACTCCTACACTTATCTGGAAAAGAAAACATTCTTTATGCATGCACCTTGTGAAGGCCATTCAGGATTTAATGCACTTCAGTCAAGTCGCCCCTTACTATTCTAAACAGTGGGTGAAAACAATCATAGTCTGTCCAATATTTTCTCATAAGACAACCATCTCTTCCAGTTATTAATCATAGAATCCCTACAGTAAGGAAGTAGGCCATTCAGCCCATTCTGACACTCCAAACAGCATCTCACCCAGACCCCCACTGTCCCTGTAACCATGCATTTCCCATGGCTAATCCACCTAGCCTGCAAGTCCCTGGACAATATGGGCAATTTAGCATTGCCAATCCACCTAACCTGCACATCTTTGGACTGTAGGAAGAAACAGGAACTGCCAGAGGAAACCCACTCAGTCACAGGGAGAACATGCAAACTCCATACAGACAGTCACCTGGCAGTGGAATCAAACATAGGTCCCTGGCACGTGAGGCACCAGTGCTAACCACTGAGCCACCATACTAACCCAATTCAGCAAAGCTCATTTAATGTAGTTTCCAAGCACCTCCAATGTACTTGTGTCTTCCTTAATTAAGGAGGGCAAAAGTGCAAACATTATTCAAGATGTGGTCACCAAGGCATGGCATCTTACCTTTTATGTTCAATTCCTGTCATAATAAAATATGGCATTCCATTAGTCCTCTTAACTACTGCTTCACCTGTAGTTGAGCTTTTGTGACTCATGCAGGAGAACACCTAGATCCCTGTGCACCTTGGAATTCTACAGTCATTCTCCATCTAGGTAACATTAGTCTTTTTGCTGGAAAAATTCAGCAGGTTTGGCAGCACGTGTGGAGAGAAATCAGTATTAAGGTTTCAGATCCAGAGACCGTTCTTCAGAACTGATGGCAGTTAGGAAAAGGATGGTATTTTTGCAGAATATGGAGGGGGGGAGAGTAAACGATAGGTGGGCATAGAGGCCAAAGACAAAGTAAAACAGTTAGACAAACAAAATGGGTAAAGATTGTGGTGTGTTAAAGTGACAGTGTTCCCTGGCCAACCTATCTCTCAAGCTTGTTGCAGTGCTCCAGCGAAACTCCGCGCAAGCTGGAAGAAAAGCACCTCACCAATTGATGCAATTTCTTTTTCAATCTTTGGGACTGAATGTCACTGTAATACCTAGTATTTACCCTCATCTTAATTGGTTTTGAATTGAGTAGCTTCTTAGAGCATTTCAGAGTAAAACACACTGCGGTGTTTCTGCAGTCACATGTAGGCCAGATCTAGTAAGGAAATTAAAGGGGATCAATAAACTAGAAGAGTTTTTTAATGATCTGTGATAGGTTCAGCACCACTATTACTGTTTCTAGTTTTCAATTTCAGATATTATTTTTTGAATTTAAATTCCCCTATTGCCACAGTTGGATTTAAGCTAATGGCCCGAAATTATTAACCTGGACCTCTAGGTCATGAATCCAGTGACTTCATCACTACATCACCATCTCCCCCTGAAGTCTAGTGATTTTGGAATGATTTATGTGGCACAGCTTTACTGACTTATCATTTCAACTTTAATAAATCCTCCGTGGTAAATTATCTAGGTTCATGCAAGACTTGATCACAAGGTGAGATCAAATACTTCAGTTGATAAATCCAGAATGTTTATTGAACATTAAATGGTAGAAATATTACAAGTTTAAATGATGAAGTTTCAAGTAACAATAAAAAGAGAAAAATCTTTTCTTAGTTGTTTAAAAGAATTTTTCACAATTCCTCAAGTGATTAAGTTCAAGTGAAGCGTGTCCCTTCCTGTCCTCGATGCTAGATAAAAGCGTAACAATATCTTCCTAGAAAGCTTCATCTCGTACCTTTAATTCTTATTGTTTTATCTCAAATCAGCCAAACTACTGAACATGAATTAATTAACTGCTTCGTTGGTTATAATGGTTTCTGAGACCTACAAACAGTTTCCCAGGTTTGTTTTCCAATTCATTAGTAGAATAGCTCTAGTCAGAATGATTCCATGTCTGATTTCTATATAATATTTCTATCACACCTAATTTAATTTATTAAGTCATTTATTAATGTTTTATTTACATTCCTCATCTTTAGCTGGGAAACCACTATTTTGCAGAGGAAAAACCCACTGCGTAACCTTAAATATTTAAAATTATATATTATAAACTATTACAGACTACCTGTTACAGGCTATATGTCCAGCTCTTACTAATACCTATTAATAACTATTTCTTCAATTGTCTTGCAATCGAGGCTCAGTACTTTGTTCAGTTGTTTTTGACTGATTTCCGAACATGCATATCATGTAAATGAATTAAGACGTCTCCTTTGTGGTCTCAAAATGGCTTCTTCTAGCCATGTTAGTTTCCTATAACGACCTGACTATAGAAGTGGTTAAGTCCTACTAAATGATTAGTTTTTAAAGTTAGCAATAGTCTGGTAGATGTCCTTCACAGCTCGATCATTCTTAGTGATGGACACTGAAAATCTGTTACCCAGAATCCATTCTGTACCTTGCTACCTACTGTTTCTTCCAAGTGGTGTTCAAGATATAGAATGAACTCATCAGCTGAGCGAAGGTAGCAGGAGGTTTCCCTGCCCAAGTCTGAACTGATGCCCAGAAAATTCAAGGAGCGCAGAGTCAAGCCCAGGGCCACTTCCTCCCAATTGTATAACACTACTATCACCTATGATGCATCTATCCTGCTGCTGGTGCAGGAAAAATCCAAACCAAGCGTGACGATGCGTGAACCTGCAGCTTTGTCTGTAAGATATGATTCACTAAGTCTGACTATATCAGGCTTCTCCTGACTAGTCTGTGGGATCTCTCTTCTCATGTTAACAAAGGTCCCTAGATGTTAGTGAAGACAATCTTAGCAAGGTTAACTAGGTGGAGTGTACATTGGCAGTTCTGACGTCTGGGTTAATGCCGAGTAGTCCTTGCAGTTGTCGTTTTAATTGAACTTTTTACAGTGGTTTGATGGAACCATGGGGCTCACTGGGCCATTAGAGTTTGGAGTCAGTCACATTTCTGTGGATTCGCAGTCTCATGCAGGCCAGTCCATAAGAAACATTTCCTTTCCAAAGGGTATACGTGAACCTGATGTTATTTTTCATATTGTCATAGTTTCATTATCATTATTAATGACCGTTGTATTTTATTTGGATAAATTCCATTAATTGAACTGAATTATTCCCACCGTCAAGGTGGGATTTAAACTCAGGTCTCCAGACCATTACTAGTCCAGTTGCATTATCATTACATACTAAATCTGTCTTACACAGCAGAGTTTCACCTACTTTAAACACCTCAAAGTTTCTTTTTGTGGTCTCAGGACACATTTCTCCCTGACCCTCTCTATAATGTTATGTTGTCATTATGTAAAACGTATAAAAATTGATTTACTGGATATCTTGTATCTGTGGACGTTGGGGTCAGTGTACAGGTGGCTAAAAACAGTCAACAACAGTTCTTCAAAATCTAGGTCACAAATCATCCCAGCACATAAAAGGGGATATTAAAATGAGAAAAATGCTCAGATCTTTAGTTGTGGGGGAATGGGCCTGAATTTGGCATTTGGAAAATATCACCCAAAGTTTCTTTTCCCCAAATGTCCTCTCTTCCCTCTCTAACTGGGGAGGGGATGTTTGGAACCTATGATAGAAGTCAT